ATGGTGGTAATTTACAAGCCTGCTCGCAGTTTGTTTAAAAGAAAAATGGACACGCACACACACGTGTTCAACCATCTGTTGAAACTGGGAAGCACAGTCTGTTCGCGCTTACTATAAAAGGAAGATGGAGCTCGCTCTCTCTAGCTGCCCTTGTTAAACTTGTTTAGGAAATTGTTTATATATATGCTTATAAATAAGCGGGTCATAAAAGATCTTAGTTTGGACAACATGCTGATTATGGGGAAGTCCTTCAAATTTTGTGATTTGGACACTACTGTTCCGAAGAACTGAACTGAAATCATCAAGGCACTTGATGTTAGCTAATGATTTTGTGATGTCCCCTGCTGAATTTTACTGAAAGCTCTAATGAATTTTTATAACTACACGTGGAAACAGATTTTAGTAAGAGCTAGGATTCGGTATGTAGATTGCGAGCTGCCTAAGTACTTACTTGGCCACGCATTGCCATGCTTGCCAGTGGAATTCATGCAGGGCAGTTTGTGATAACGTGGGTCCAAAGAAGAATACTAACCTGAGTTTTTGCTAATTGTAGAGGCATCACTTACTGTTGAAAAAATTACTATTTCTAGTCATCAGTCATGTCATCTGACAATTTGGACTTCCTTGGTTTTTTTTGGAATTACTTGTTTTTTAGTTTCTCCAAGCACAGTTCCAATGGCTTGTGGGAGAGCAGAAGGTTTGGATTGCCACTTTACCTAGCAAACATCCCTAGTTCTAAAGATGCAGGTCTTCTTTCTTATGTAGTATTTTCCATGGACACGTGTATTCAGGCTGTGCAATTTCCTTGAAATAAGTGAAATAGTTATGTAAACTTCATACCAAGGCGTTGAGTTTGTCAGGTATGGGCAAAAATGTGTACATGAGGTTTAGTTGAATATGCTGCATTCTGAAGAACTTTCTTTTATCCACCAATGCAGATTTGATTCAATGTTTGTCATTTACAAAACACTGTATCAGTTTTATTTTATGACAAGAGAGACCTTTCTTTGAGCTGTGGAGGAGAAGATGCTTTTTCCAGTCTGTAACTTAGTGTAATTTAGGATTGTGGTAAGGAACAATACTGCCTTATTGAAATGTATTTTCTTCCAATACCAGGCTGGTCTTCTGTGTCAGATTAAAATTATGGGCTCATTCTTGTATTTTCAGCAGATTTTTTTGGTTCAAATTTTCTTTGGGGAACATTTCACTGTAGTTTTATATCCACATTAGACTCAGAATTACCTTGATGTACAACTTTTATCAAAAGCAGTAGGGGGCAGGCCTATTTACACCTTAGTTATTTGAATGAAATATTATTTCATTATAATTAACTACAGCAAATTCTTTTTCTTAGTCAAAATAAAGTTAGATTAATATAAAACCCAAGAGTAAAAAAATACAGCTTTAAATGCTAAAATGACAGGAACTTTTACAAATTAAATAGAGTATCTAGAAGACAAGTTAATATCAAGGATTTTGATGCTAAGAATGCTTATGGTGAAGAAAAGTGGAAAAGATTCTCAAGCATTGTGGAAAAGGGTAACCCTCTTTCCTTGCTGAATAATAAAGTCAAGTAATTCTTAAATATCTAGCTCACATTTCAGTAGGTGAATTCCTTAAGCATACCAGTTAGCCTGGTAGAGAAATTTAAGCTTAATGGAGACACCTTAAAATTACTTCGTCTTATTTGATAAAAAAGGCTTAAATTAATAATTAAAATGTTAATATTGTGTCTTCATCCACAGTGTGTAGTTTGCAAACAGGGAGTTTCCCTTAGGCACTCCTGAATGTAGACAGAGTTACTTCAGCTCCACTTCTGAAGTAACAGAGGCATTAATAGTAATGGCCACATGAAGTTTCACTCTGTGTGGGAAGAAACAACCATCTCTCTGAGCCTTCTGCTGTTACTTTGCACAGCCACCTTGCCAATTCTTTGAAACTGTATAAGTGTTTGCACAATCAGGTGAAAGCAAAAGTTAGCCACAGTTGCTTACTGTAATTTAAAGAGATGGTTAACAATTAATTAGATTTTCACAGTAACTTTTTTTAAAATGTTTCGAGGCTATTTTAGAAAGAGATGAAACCTTATAGTAATGTTCAGTCTTTTGGATTTTTCAAGCTACAGACAAGTTTGCAATTAAGTTGTGTATTCCTGTACAGCAAATAGTTGTATTTCCGGTAGACTTCAATTTTTGATTACTTTTTGCTGAGCTTTTGATCAGCTCAGCAGAAAACAGGTGTTCACAAACTAGAGCAAAAAACATTGCCTAAATCTTTCAAAAACATTCACCTATAAGCAGTAGCCCAAATTAATTAAAATATGGAGTTAACATAAGAAAAAACTTCTCAGAGGAGTAACAGTATTTTTTGTTGTCTGTTTCATACATACAGTTGTTAAAATCTTGGGGGTTTTTTTCAGCAGCTCTTTCCTCACTCTTTGGTTTTGGAGCTTTTTATTGTGTTGTTTTTTGGGGTTTTTTTCTTAAAATAAGAAACATAATAGAGCTTGTTGAAAACAGAATGGGAGAATACCTTAAACTGAGACTTCCTCTCTCAGGTTTGTTTTCCACAAAACTAGGAGAATGCGTAGTTACATTTGTCTATTTCTCCAATCTGCCCCTGAAGGGAGAGGTGTAATTACATGGAAAAGAGACTTTGTATCAAAGTTCAGCAATGACAAATTAAAATGAACTTCAAAGCAATTTCTCAGTTTACTGGAAACATTTCAGCTGCTCAACTGTCTCGGGACAGTGCACTTTTTATTGTGTTAAAGAAGGAAGTAAATGCATGGATTTTTGCAGTATTAGAGTTCACCTGGAGGGAAATAAGGAAATTAATAAGTAGCAAGGTAACTGCTATTTATGTGTTTGCCTAAGAAATAAAGGGACATATTCTGTGAGTATAACTCTTAGAGGGGTTGAGGGGAGTGTATTTTATTTATTATTATAATTTTCTTTTACCTGGCAGTCTCTGGTGAGACTGTTTTCTTGTTTCATAGGGCATGAGAGCATTTATGCCACAGATGAAGATACAACTGGCAGCAATCACACACCACTTCTTTATTCTTGTCTTGTTGCTGGTACTAGTTGTTATAGTAACTGTGACGTTATTCTGGCAGGTTGACCTCCCAGTAGAGTAAAAAGCAGAGGAGTGTGTAGTGTGTAGCATGCATATTCAGGAATCCAAGTGGTTGGTATTTGCAACTCCTTCATATGTGCTTATGCCTATACAGAGCTGAAGAAGGGTTTGGGTCTGAGTAAACTGGCATCACTAAAAGGGGAATGGAAGGAAGATGGACTCCCTCTAATGATGCCTTTGCAGGACACTGTCACTGTGTATGCACTCAAGAGCCATGCAGTGATATGATCCATTTGGGAATAATATTGTTTAAAAAGAATGGTACTGTGATGTACGAACCTAAGTAGTGAAAAGTAAAAGAACTCCTTGGACCTAATACCACTGCTACCTATTGACCTGTGACTGAGAGCCTTACATTACTACAGTATTAGAATAATTTTTAGATTATTGCTAACATTTTAAAACCAAGTTAAATTTGACATGAGTACTGGAGATGCTGTATAAATATTTCTAGAAACCTTGGGTTTTGTTTAGACTGTATTCCTCAATATAAAAATCAACTGGCAGTGGTAGACACCAATTACTAAAACAAGGTTGTTTTGCCAACATGCTGTTTGCAGAGATAATCATAATATATGGCACCTAGATAATGCATGATACCAGTGCCTAATGTAAGCCACTGTGCATCATATAAGTCACCTAACATGTGGCTTGAAAAGCAAGTTTTCACAGGGCAAGAAAAACTCTAATATTATGCATGTTGATACAACTTGGATATTAGTAATAGGTTATATTCTCACTGTAAAATAATTCAGTTAGAAATTTGTATCCCAGGAGAATAAAAATTGACTGAATTCAATTGTTTTCTCCTCTTACTGTCAAAATTATGTACATACTAATATTTTACTTCATTTAGTATAGTAAGCTGATCCTACAATACAGCTATCTGTTTCAGAAGTAGGTTTTAATTTTCTGGAATTGCTCCTGCCTGCGTTGTTTTTTTGGTTTTTTTTGTTTTTTAATTCAGTAGGTTTTGAAACCTACATTCTTAAAGGGATGGGTATAGGAAGCTTAATTAAATCTATAATTCTGCATTTGTTTCTTTAGAACTCATTTATGCAAATTATAACAGTTATCAAAAACATACTGATGATCTGTACATGAAAACTGAGTTCCAAGTAGTCAGTGTAGACATGTCAGGATACAAAATAGATTGTAGGTATAGGCTCAGAAGAGCTTGTTTGCTGCTTTCTTGTATCTTTCATATAAAGTCTTTCTCCAAGACAGAAAAGTAATCTTTCAATTACTCATTCTGCTCTGAAATATATTTACCTTTTTATAAATGCTTGCTATGTGTTAAGTCATATTTTTAAGTGATTTTTCTCCTGTTTGTGATAACTCATTTTTGCCAGTTAAGCTATAATGGCAGCTGTTCTATTAAACTCTTTTTGCCGCTTAAAACCAATAGCAAATACTGCAAGTCTTAAACATGTTTACCTGTAACTGTCAAACAATATAAACAGTAATAAGGGATTTTTTCGTTTTTAGCCTGAATACACATATCATTGCAAATCTGTCCATATTATGAATTAAAGTTGCATATCGTTCCAATTCAGTATTGAGTTAACAAGAACTACCAGCTTTTATAGAAAGTATATAAACTGATTAATGTAAGAATTCTAGAGACCCAGGGTATGGATCCAAGCATTTATAAGTAGGAGAATACTAGCAGTGAATTCAATAGCAATGTACCTGTAAATGTAAAAACATCACAGTTTATGTAAGTCTGGACTGGAAACTTGCAAAATGCCTGAACTTTTAAAGTTCTTCCTTTAAAAAAAAAAAAATAAAAAAAATAAAAAAAAAACAAAAAAAAACCAACCAAAAAAAAATCACACAAAAAAAAAAAACCACACCACAGCTGCCTTTTACCTTTTATTTTCACTAGTATGAGTTACATCATACATGCAAAATACATATTCTTTTCTGTGTTGGCTAGTTCACGTCTTCAGCCACCACTCTTCCCTCCGTGTGTGCATACACAAGTGTATTTTGTGCAAGTGAACTACCGTGTAACCTCCTCCAAGGGTTGTTACTGGAGAGAGCTGAAGGAAAACACTAGAAGAGAAGCAGCCTGTTAGCTGTCATAGCCGTGTTTTGGTGCGTGTCATAGCTGTCATTGCCGTGTTTTGGTGCGTTTGTCGGAGAGCGATTGGTTTTCCCGGTGAAGGTCGGGCTGGTTGAGCTGCGGCAGACGGCTCGGGGCAGCAGGTGGCGCTGGCACGAGCCGGGTCTGAGGCGGTGGCCGCTCTTCGGAAGGAGCCTGTCCCGAGGGAATGCCGGCCCACAGCGATGGCTTTTCCCGGCCTCTGCCCCGCTGCGGTCAGACGCGTTCAGCGGGACTGCTCCTGCTGCCCCGGGCACAGCAGCAGCCACGTCTCTGCTGCCGGCCGGGTGCTCGGCGCCGAAATCAGGCTAAGCACAGCTGAGAGGCAGGAACGCCTCACAGCTATTCTTCCTGGCTTCCTTTCCTAACCACTGCGCAGGGATAGAAGGACAGATAAAACTGGGCAAGAGAGTCGTTTATATTGTCATGGAGGGTGTGTAAAATGAAAGCTAGGGCGTGAAGTCTAGCTGGCAGCGCTGTGCAGCAGTTGATCTGCAGCGACTGCTTCTTCCTGGGCAGTCTTCATACAGCTCTCGTCTTGACCAGTTGCTGGATGTCAGTCTCTTTCTCCCATCCAAAAGGCATCAATCACCAGGGGTCAGCTGCTGTAAAACATCACAGAACTTAAGACTGCAGAAGGCAACATTTTAGTTCAGTGGCTATCGTGCAGCAGCCTGACGGGCAATGTGCCATTAAAATGGAAGCTGTGGCTGTTTTGTTAGTCAACTTTTTCTTAAGTTATTTGTGAGGAGCTTCTGATTGGTCAAGGAAAAAAAAAATCGGTGTCCATTAAAAGTCCACAGAATTTTTTAAATTTGCCTAATCATCAAGAGTGCTTTATATAAAGGCCAAAAAAAAAGAGAAGGCATTTTTCAGTACAAGTGGGCATATGTTTAAGATTGCAGCACACAGGTCAAAGAAGACACCATGTTTAAATACTAAAAGTAACTGTAATATTTTCATTCACTGATACCTCGAAATAATAGAGAATTGCACTGACTTACCTCAGAAGATAATTACAAAAATAATTTTAAACAACAATTTCTCTAAGTTATAGCAATAATACCTGTTGCTGGAAGGAAATATGGCTCCTACTTTCATACATCTCAATATTTTTTAAAAAAATTTATTTATTTGATTTATTTTATTTTATATTGAAAGGGCTGGGGTAAAGCCCAGACTTGGACAATTAAATGTCTGAAAACAGACTTTCAGACTTCCTGAGATGGGTTTGCCACCAAGAAAATTCCTGTTCAAATGTGCTTGTTCTTACTTGTTTCCCACTCAATAACTGTAATTTCCTTCCTGCACGCCTTTATAAAGATTTGTCTGCTCTGCAAATTGGATCACTGAAATAATCCAAGTTTATTTGTGGTTTAGTTTTTTTTACCTAGGAGTTGTTTTGTTCCACCTTAATCTGAATTAATACCACTGAAATGTTCCATTAATCTTGTTCCCTTGAAGCTTTCCCTCTTTGTCAGAAACTTACTAGTTATCAGACCAAAAATATGATTTTTTCACTCAGCAGCTATTATTGCAGCACTTACTATTATCAGCTGCATCTGCCTTTGCAGTGAGTATCACTGATGGGTAAGCCTCAGTTTGGTCTGCACATTTCCCTGGAAAAATTGTACATGAAACTGAAAGGTAGGAATTAGTACAAAGCAGTAGCACTATTGGTACTTTAGCAGTAGTAGAGTGCAAAGAATGGTAGCGGTAGTATTGGTTTTGAACACTTCCAGAAGGCAAGTACACAGAGGTACAAGACTTATGGCATCCAAGTGCATCTTTGAATGGATTCAGCAGTGAGAAACACCCATAAAGCAACGAAATGTGGAGTCAAAACAATCCTTCATGCCACAAGTAATGATGCTTCTGCCTGTTACCTTTAAAAGGAGTGTTTGGTAGTTGTATTTCATCTTTTAATTTAATGGATTTTTTTTTTCAGTAACTTCAAAAAAGAGTTTGTAATCAAAGAGAATCTAACAGTTAAAAACTTCATTAGTCTCAATATGTAATTTAACTGGAATATTATATTAGCACTTAATTCTTCCATGTAGTGTCTGGTAATGTATTGTAGATTAAACTTTGTCCTGCTGACTTTGCTTCAAACTGAGTCCCACAACTCCACTATTCAAGGGTCAGAGTTTATTTGATCTAGATACAGCATTCTTAGGCTTGGTGAAAAAAAATCTAAGCTGATTTTTTTTTCTTAGAAGCAGATAAGAGAAGAAGAGAATCAGCAGCAACTGCTTCAGTCCAAGCCTTGGCCTCATTGCAAATCCATTCTAGATAGTGTTACATGGGAAGCTTCTAGGGAAGCAAGCATTTGTTTAAGTTCTTTCAATGCATGTCCATGTAGATGTATACAGGATATTTAATTATAGAAGGTATACATGTGAATGTGCCGTTTGGGGAGAAAATAGTATGGCTCATGAAAATGACCTCATTATGCAAGGTGAGCTTTTGCATACCTGATAGCTGATTAAGAATTAATAATTTGTAAATGTACCACAGTATATTTACATACTGCCAGTTATTAGAATTCTACACTGTTTGCCTAGGTATTTTGAAGAAGGATTATTTGTACTAGCAGCCTCACCTGTAAGCATCCTTTAAGAAAGCATTAGATTCTGTAGGGAAATGGATCTTTTCAGACAGGCAGACTCCAACATACTCCATAGCAGTATTAAAGGAAAACGAGAGTACCACTCCAATAAAAAAAATCTTACATTTCAAAAATGAATTTTCTGTATCTGTGTTCTCAGAAGAACTGGCAAGAAAAAGGAAGGATGGAGTTAAAACTAGGGCGTTTTCCAGTTCTAGTTGATTCCATGTAGGGTAGAGAAACCAGAAGTGGTTTTGGTATTTAAGCTCCAAGTTTGTAATGGATTTATAAAGATTTTATCCAGAAAGCTCTGGTAGGAATAGTGAAATGTATGTATGAAGGGCAAGAAAAAAGCCTCCATTTTCCCCTGCCAAGCAATGAAAGGGTGTTACAACCTTGAGTTCTTCTTTCAATCCTGGTGCTTTAGAAGCTATTTTTAAAATTTAAGTGTAATGTGATAAATTGTATTGATCTGAACTTGCTTACAGTTAGAATATTTTTATATTCTTTTTTTCACAAGAGCAGGAGAGAAGCAATGAAGATTAAAAAACCCATCAGTTTAAATTTGGCTAGGTAGTTGTGGTATTTTCAAGATACTTATTAGAAATGTCTGAAGGTCTCTTCATCATTTCCAGATACTCAGTGGTAACTAAATAATACATACCTTTTCTTTTAGCCTGCCAGTTATAGAGGTTAAATCTCTCCACGGTGAGGGAATGGCAGTTAAGCACAAAGATTAGGTGATTCCCCTAATATACTATCAGAGAAGAAAATGCCTATCCTGAGCTGTACTCATTCACCCCAGAACTGTTCTGTATGTTTTGTACCTCCTATATTCTCTGAGACTAAATTCTTGCCCGGACTCGTAATTGAGAGGATCACATGAAATACTGGAAATGTAGACCCTAGTTATTATTAGTTCTTCATTTTCTTGTAAGATCCAAAATGTCTGTTGATCTATCACCAACAGAAATCTCTTCTTTTAGAATGACTTTGTAAGCACAAGAAGAAGCTGCGTAAGGGACAATGATGCTGCAAGATCTTTTATTCTCTCATCAGAGAAATGTATTAAACAGAAGAAGAAAAGCTTAAGGAGTTGTTTTCATGTGTGTGTTGACATTAAGCTTTGTGTTCAGTATAGCCATAAATGATCAGACTATTAGATGATCACCAGTTTTCCCATGAACTGTAAAGAAAGCTGGATCTCTGATCAGATCAAGAAAATCTCTATTAAAAGAGTTGTTGAGTATGGTTTGTGATACCATTCAGGTTAAGAGCCTCACCTTCTTAGCATGTGCCATCTCTGGATTCATCACAATTGGTTGAATTCAGTCTTCAATATGTTCTTAGCACTTTTTCATAACATGTGCTATTCAAGCTCTTTCTTTTTGGAATTGATTACACTCCTCACAAGTGATCTCTATGACAGACACACACTTTCATATACAAATCATAGTTCTTTGCATCATACCATCTGTAAATATGGCTGGCATGGTTTTTACACCAAACCTGTACTGCAAAATTCCTTGCAGGAATTTTGGATAAGTGGTATCCAAAATTCCTGCAAGGCAACCTTCTAAACCTTTATGTACCCCAGCTTCATCAAACTGACCATTGACCTTACTTTCCTTGTAATTGTCACAAATATAAAAAGCTATTCCTGGAACCATTATGCAGCTCATTAACTCAGTTCACTAGGGCATGAATAATAATCATGTTTGAATACAGTAGGCTGGTATTGGTTCCTTTCTTCTGCTTGGTCTTGGAACTTGAGTGTCAAGGTTCAGGTACCGTTCCCTGTCTCATGAGGTTATATAAAGTAGGCTGTTTTGGAAAATATGTACTAAGTAAACTTATTACAAAAGCAAAATTAGGCAACAAATGCAGGTCTTTAACGTTAAAAATTGATCCCTACAATAAAGCAAGGTATTGCTCAAGTAAAGTCGAGCAACGTGCTAAATGTATGGGGATATATTCAAAAGTTGTTCAGTTGTGGTAGGGTCCCTAAACAAGAATAAAAGCTAGCAAGCCCATGAAAAGACACTACCTAATGTTTACACCAAAGATTCAATCACCTTACACAGGATTCAATCAATGTTGTGGGAAATATTCTAAAAAGCTATGATCTTTAAAAAGTTTACGTCTTTTTGATCTTTAAAAAGTTTACGTCAATTTAGCTGAAGTATTCCATTTATTAGTTAAAGAAAAAGCTCAGCTTACTTGCTTAGGCAATATACCTGGGTTAATTCTTTCCACAAATGGATGCAACTTATGTCATGGGGGTGGAAGGACTGGTAGAACCAGCTTTTCTTTGCTTTAGACTAAAACTTACAGTGCTTCATATTCGAGAGCATCCTCTACAAACCAAGTTCACCTAACACACGAGCATATGAAGTTGAACCTTTTCCCAGTCTTATATAAATTATAAATCAGCTAGTGTTTTCAGTGTTGTTCTTTTTTTCCTCTTGCTCTTTTTCTGCATAGAATAGTCTGTAGTCAAGATATGGCCCTCAGCCAAAGAGAAAATGTTAAAATAGAATCTATCTGTTGAAATAACTACACCTCTTCAGTTTGTGGTTCTTAAAATATATTGAAATGACCTTCCAGATTTCGAGAGTAGAAATGGCATGCTGTAGTTTATTTCTCTCTCTATGAAAAAATCAGTGTTCATTTTAACTCCTCTTTTACCAGACATTAAACACTGTAAACAAAATGCTCAACAGACTCAAATCAGCAGTAACAGAATGTGGTTAGTAGGAGCTGTGGTAATTAAAGTGTTATACACGAAGATTTCTTAGAGTTGCAAAGACAGTCTTGTTTTGTAGATGAGAAGTTTCATGTATGGCATTTTCATTAGAGTGAAAGTACACTGTTGATAAAGATAGAGTAGATGTTTTTCTAAGAATTAGGTGTTGGCTGTATTAATGTTTACAGAAATTTTGCTCACGCCATTTTCTAGGGCTTTCACTGAAACTGTAATAATTCACTTAAAATGCT